GAAATGGGAGATCCAGGAAAAAAGTTTTGTGGCACATCCTGCCCACTTACACTTTCTGCACACAGAATACTCTGGGCCTTGAGTGAACAAATACTCTGCAGATCCTGCCTGAGATAAAAGGGCTCTCGCTTGATTATGCACAGATACACGACATCATATCAAAAAAAGGCTGCCTACCCATAACCAGAACCTTCAAGAGATGCAGTTGGTATGTGAATTCACATTGCAGGCATATGCTGCACCGTCATTTGAGACTGAAGAAATGCTTTTCCTTTGCAGCATCCTCCATTGGGCAAGCAGACAAGGAACAAGAAAATATGAAGACTCTGTAACTAAAAAGAGTCAATTAACCTGTAACCTACCCGTTAACCTCCTTTCCTTCTCATTCTCCATTTACATCTGAAAATCACATTATGGGTGAATTCAAGGAATTATTTCTCCCACACCCAAATTACAAGGCAGAAGGTCTTACAGCCCTTTATGCAAACTGACGCTTAAACTGCTCTACCAAATGCTGCACCAACCGTTAAGACCTCAAATATTGCACATTGCCTGCAACAGTATGGACACAGCTCCAAAAAGCAATGCTGAGTCATCAGAATAGAGCTATCTTCCCAATGGTGACAGCACAATTGCTTAAGCTCTCGGAATGTAACCTAAGTAGTTCAGGAAAATTGGAACCAATTAATGAAAAGCTGCCAGAGTATCTTTAAAGAGGTCACAGTGCTGGAAACAGGATGACCTTCTTAGCTTATGGTATGATCAGCTGTTGGATCTATTATGGGTCCATTAAAAAAAACCCAAACACCTAAACATCTGGAAGGTTATTCTGAAGACTAGTGTCTCAGAAAGAGAGGAAAGTTTGGGCAGGAAATCTAAAAGAGCTAACTGCTTATCAAAGCTCTTGAATTCACATCAAGTAATTCATGAGTCAACATTACAGTAACTAAAAAGAAAAAACATACTCCCTCAGTTCATGAAGTTATCTAATCTCCCAAACCTTCCATCTAGAAGTCTTAACCTTTGCTGATGCAGCAGTTACTGCGACAAAAGAAGCTGGGTAGTTTCAGAGGAAGTCCACAGACTTGTACTTTCTACTTATTCTCATGGCCACAGACAGAAACTTCCATAGAGCCTGGAATATTTCAACAGCCTAATGGCTAGAAATTGTTGAGTATCATGTGACAATCATATAGATGGCAATGCAGGAACTTGCTTTGGGAGCTCTTGGGAAGTCCTTTCATCTTCCCAAAGAACAGGCACAGGTTGACACAATCTGTCATGGTATTGCTTCGAGAAGGAAGTCTGAGACTGGCAATTTATAAAACACAATGTATGTGTCCTTTAAGCTCACCATAGCTGAGGCTCCCAGGCACCAGCCTGGATAAGTTGTAGCAATAGGTGGTACAGGTTAGTCCCAAGAAGCAGGTAAAAGGGTCAGAGCTGCTCAGATGAAAACTTTGTTTCCTCCCACATCCATTATGTGACAAACACAGTGATTATGAAACTGCTCGTGTCAAGAAGGATGACAAGAAGTGAAGAAGAAGACGGTTGACCCAGCAAGGATGAGCTTTGATCAGTTGCTTGTGGCAGTGACGTAAGGGTTCAAGGGCAGGAAGTCAATGAGATACCCCCTGTGCAGGTAGTGAAGATGACATTGTCAGTGCCAGAAGTGGGGGAGGAGCTGAAATACTTTTTGAGTACTGAGAGCTAAAGGAAAGTAATAAGACATGCAACCAGAGATGACTGTGTCAGCAATAAGGTGTGAGCTTAGTTCATCTGGCAAGCCTCCATGGTATTTTTAAAGTAACCTTCAACCAAACACTTTAAACCAACGCTCAACAGGACTTTTTCAGGAAACTGATTTAAAAAAAAAAAAAAAAAAAAAAAAAAAAAAAACTGTCCCACAGCTCTTGCAGGCTCAGCCATTTCATGCTGTTAAATCTGGTAAATGAGCATTCAGAGAGTCTAGTTCGGAGGTGAGTGGCCAGCTGCAGAACCCAGTCTTTCCTAAATCAGGAGGAAATAAACCCCTGTTGCAAGGCAACTTCTAAATCAGTACTTGGAGAGCTCACAGTGCTAAAAGTCTGAAGCACCAGCAAGTCAGGATGTACAAACCACTTGGAGTCTCTGATTCCACTTCCCTTGCCCATGTACATATTCAGGAGTTGCGATAGTTAATTGGTTGAGTATGTTTGCACCTCTCACGCATACCAGTGTCTGCAGGTGAGCTGACATCTAGCTTGTAAGTGCCTTGTAAGAAAAAGACCTCCTATACCTCCACAATCTTTGCGTCGGGTTCAGGACCACCATTCGCTAGGTCCTGTTATGAAATGCATTAACCTCCAATGCATGAAGAATCACACTAAGATTATAAAGCAGGATCCTTTTTTTTTCCCCTTAGTATGTACCGCTTTATATAATTACGATTCTAATATTAGTCTAATTCATAACGACATACACTTAAAACCTTTCTCAATTTCTTAAAGTCTTGCTATAAAAATATGTTTTCATGTTCATTAAATTGAACCAGCCCAAAGTCAGCCACTGTGACAAGCCCTTGGTTTAAGAATAAAACTTGAGTCCTAGACTGATGAAAGAAATAGAAACTGAGGCTCTTTACCACCCCAGAAAAACAGGAAAGAAAGATGTTTCCCTACAAGCTGCTGCCTGATCATTTTTCTACTGTACTCATAAACAAGTGATATTTTACACTTTTATGAATTCTTACAGCCTTATTCTTTCATGGCAAGCACTCAAAATTAATTGTACCAAAACAGATACTCTATTAAAGGATTTTTTTTTTTTTTTTCACTTGCAATACATTGTGTTCTATTTCAGGACAAGTTTTCCATCTACAACTTAGCCCTAGCTGTAGCAGAATAAAATTCCAGCTTTTATGACAGAAGACTTTTTTTGATCAATAGAAGTCAGCAGCAAAAGCATTTGTGGTTTTTCTCTGGAAAGCATTTGTGGCCACAGACTCAAAGAGGGAAGAAAGGGAGGGGGATTAACTCTTCAATGAAGGTCAAAAACATAATTTAAAAATGAACCAAGAAGAGCAGCTGTGTCTGTCAGCGCAATCAAGATTACCAGCTGGAGAATTTACCAGCAGTATGAAAACAATGCATACCAGATGTCAAATGTTGCAACTGTGAGTAGGAAAACATCTCTGGGCATGGCACTGTCATGCTAGTACTCATTACCAGACAGACTTCATATTTAGCATTTATTTATTAATTAGACAGACACTACCAGGAAGAAACAATAATATTTTGAGCCTCGCAGTGTAAGCCAGAGGCAGGTGTGCACACTGGAATAACTTAACATCACACATTCTAATAATTCTCCTTTCACTGCAAACACAAGATAATGATTTTAAAACTAACTAGTGAATTCTAGAACATCTGCAGCTGAGCTTGCCTTAGTTTCACTCAGTTCAGTCTGAGCTTTTAGCTTGAGTTTGGATTCTTTTCTAATAAATCTGAAATAAATATTAAGAAAACAAGTAAAACCACACTCTAATTCATGGATAATTAACTGGAAAAAACTGCACATAAGTCATGAAAGCGAGTGCTTCACTAACAACTCTACCAGCACTTCCTTCACCAGCTGCTTTTTATCTTCCTCCTCATTTTGGGGCATACTTGTCTTTTGTTCTATACATTTTACTCCTTGAGGATGAACTCATTCGTTCCCAATGCTTCAACCACCATTCTTGATGTTTAAAATATCTGATCTCAATTTCCTTCTTTTATATATTCCTTTATCTCTCTCACATCCTCCTTTGTATTTCTCTCTGAAATGAAATGGAGCGGGGGAAAAAGGTATTTAAAAAAAAAAAAAAGAAGAAATATTTGGGTTTTGTACTCCACTCCCCCTCCACTGTTGATGATTAAACTTTCTTCCTCGGCAGATCCACAAGCAGCCATTTCTGCAGAGAGTCAACAAACCCAGGCCCTCAAATTATTTCCTTTCCCAGGCTTTAAAATTAATCCTTCTTTAAAATCTACCATCAAAATGCTGGGTATCTTTCTTGATATCACCTGCTGGTATAAACTTTCTAGCTGTCATCTCTCTAATACACGTAAATATTCCATTAAAAACTCTCACCTCCCCCCCTTAATTTAACCATACTGAGAAGCCATCTTATTCTAGCTCTTTCCCCCAGTTTTGTCACTTCCTTTAACCAGTTCCAGTTGTCCACTCTTGTTCTTGATACTGATAGCTGTGCATTTATAAAGGTCTACAGAAGTTATGATTTTGTCTTAGCCTGCAGCTTCTCCCATGTTCATTCTCACTGTCCAAACACCTCTCCAAAATGCTCTAGTTGTTACATTGCAAAGCTTGCCTTTTAATCCTTTCAGTGCTGTCTTCCTAAGAGAAGGTGGCTCTCATCTCTTGGTTAATCCCTATTATTTCATGTTAAGAATTTTTCCAGTTTCCGCTTCTAAACTCAGTTTTGAAATAATATTTCTCTCATTCCAGAAAAAAAAAAAATTAGACCCAAACCTAAAGAATCACGGATATTGTTTACCACAGAAGCTATTCTAGAAACTACCCTGAAGTTTGTTTTATACCCTCTCCCTGCTTCCTTGGTGCAAATGCTTTATCTGAAGGAAGACAGGCCCATAGAAAAACACCGCACCAACCCAAATAGTCAGCGTAACTGAATCAAGCTAAAGTTATTTAAACACAATTACTGTCAGCAGAGGAAATGGAAAAGTGTTTGTGGCATCTTTGCCTGACATAATACATATGTTAGCATGGGTTTGTTAACTGCTGCAATTATAAAAAAAAAAAAAAAAAAAAAAAAAAAAAAAAAAAAAAAAAAAGGAATTAAAAATGTCCAGTCAATAGAGACATGTAACTGCTTACCCATTACTTTTCCCATTCTCTTAAAGATAGAAATTTCTTATATATTTCATTATCATCATTTGATAGTCTCCTTATCTTCTACACACATTCTACCATATGAGAACCTATTCTTCATGGCTTACCTTAGCTTTGCCATCCTGTGCAGACATATATCCAACACACATGCTCTCTGTTGTATGGCTCCACAGAAATTCCACTATAAAGGAAAATGCAAAGAAGTCACAAAAACTGCGTTGGCTTAAAATACCAGATGTAATTTAACAAGACTGGAATCTTGAGAAACAAATATAGGTTAAAACTTAGTTTGGGAAAGGACAAAAAACAAACTTAAAGAACAAAAAATACTTACCAGAATAATAAATCTCAAAAGATAGAGCTGTCAAACAAACAATATTTTCCTACACTATTCGCAGCCACACACTGCAGAACTAATACCCAGAATGCGAATGTTACTTCAAAGACATGGAGCCTCCAAGATGATAAATACATCAACTGCAACTACAGTTAAAAGATCAACCAACTTTTAAAGCAGATACAATTTGCATTTGATTGCCCTGAACCCTGAACACAAGCACACTACAATAGCATAAACCCAGATGATGTACAAGGATTCTGTAGAATTGTAATGCTATCAACAGAATAACCAGTAACAAGCACTTTTTCACAGAACTGAGCATGAACATACACATAATATGTAACTACCAATGGGTAAATGGAGATTTGTGGTTTAGCTGCACAAGTAGGATACAGGAAAACATACAGAAGAAGCAAAGTCTGCAAGATGAAAACTGAAGATACAGAGCAGGCAGGAAAGAAATTGTGTGAAAGCAAAATAGTCCTGCAGAAGAAGCAGGAGAGATGTCTGCTGATGGAAGCAGAGTAATACGGCACAATAAGCAAGATAGATGCCTGGCAAAATTACCTCAAGACCTGATCCCAAAAGTAAGCTGAATTACATCGAGAGCATATGTGATCACCCCCTGTGTTTGGGGAGAGGCTAAGGAGCACCAAAGGTCAGAGAGGAAAGAAAGACGGAGAAAAAACGAACCCATTTTGACTTTGGCTTCCCCATCAAAGCACTCTGAGTTCTGATCCCCTTGACAGAATTCTAGCATTTGCTGTGCAGCATCAGCTCTCTGGTACTGTTACACTCACAGCTAATTTGGGATGTAAATGTTGAAGACAAACAGTTTTGTGTTTGTAGTGGTAAAGAAAACTAATCATTGCTATCGTGTATTGTTAATGAATGTTAATCCAGTAAAGTGTTGAAGTTTGAAAGCAGCTCCCCAGCAGCGCTACAGGCTTGAGGAGGAGTGACTGGAGAGCTGCCAGTCAGAGAGGGACCTGGGGGTGTTGATTGACAGCCAGCTGAATATGATCCAGCAGTGTGCTCAGGTGGCCAAGAAGGCCAATGGCATCCTGGCTTGCATCAGCAACAGCGTGGCCAGCAGGGACAGGGAAGGGATCCTACCTCTGTACTCGGCACTGGTGAGGCCGCACCTCGATGTCTGGGTTCAGTTTTGGGCCCCTCACTACAAAAAGGCCATTGAATGACTCGAGCGTGTCCACAGAAGGGCAACGGAGCTGGTGCAGGGTCTGGAGCACAGGTCTGATGGGGAGTGACTGAGGGAACTGGGGGGGTTTAGTCTGGAGAAGAGGAGGCTGAGGGGAGACCTCATCGCCCTCTACAGCTACCTGAAAGGAGGGTGCAGAGAGCTGGGGATGAGTCTCTTGAACCAAGGAACAAGTGACAGGACAAGAGGGAATGGCCTCAAGCTGCACCAGGGCAGGGTCAGGCTGGCTCTTAGGAAGCATTTCTTTGCAGAAGGGGTTGTTGGGCGTTGGAATGGGCTGCCCAGGGCAGTGGTGGAGTCCCCATCCCTGGAGGGGTTGAAGAGTAGGGTCAACAGCGCTTAAGGACATGGTGTAGTTGGGAACTGTCAGTGCTAGGATAATGGTTGGACTAGATGATCTTCAAGGTCCTTTCCAACCTAGATGATTCTGTGATTGTGACCTATCAGCATTTAAACAGCCCCTTACAGTGATCTTTAATTCCCCGATACATACTTAGATATCTTTATATACACAGACGCACCCCTTTACTCAGTTGCAACACAAAGTTCAGATAAAGAACATATTATTCATACGTTTGGCTTCCACCTAATGGAACTTTATAACTCACCATACTATATTCTTCCTGCTCTATGTCCCAGTAACTTTTTTTTTCTGTTCACTAAGTACATAAGTTGGAGGGGGGGAAAAAGAAAGAATGAATTGCTGATGAGAATTCAGGATTGTTTCATAGAATACTGTAAAGGGTGTAAGAAATTAAACTGAAGTGTACATTTTTCCATTGGATTACAGGATGAATCTTATATGAATTACACATGATGCCATGAAAACCTCTTCCCAGGTATTTCTTTAGCGAGACACTTTCACATATGGCAAAAAGCATCATTAGCTGGTTTTAAAACTAATACATTCCTATTCCTCATGTTCTTTTAATATGACTGAAGAAGGTCACAGCATGCTGACTATGCTTCTCCTTTGCACCATTTATCTTTGCATACCAATATAGCCTGAGTGGAAGATCAAAGTTTAGACAATCCCAGGAAGACTTGAAGATTCTGACAGATATCATCACAAAAGAGAAATTAACTTCATTTGCTCCCCCCATAATAGATTCTTGACTGACATCACCAAACTTTAGTCAAAAGCTTTCACTAAGTGAAACATATTGAGTGCAATGTAACTGCACTCAAGGCTAACCACTCCCTAACACCCAAAAAAGTCCAACTATCAGTGAAAGCGGTTATTTCTTGGAGGAAAATTTAATCTTATCTTTCAGTTTTGAGAAGTTAGACAATAGTTGAGGCCAAGTATCCTCAAAATATTATTTCTCTGCCTTTGATAACTCTAGGCATATTCTTTTGATTTTTTTAATAGTTTTTCTGTTCTACATTGTCCACCAAAAGTAGCATGTACTAGCATGAAACACTGTTATTTCTAGCTATTACAAGTAGTAGAATTACAATTAAAATCCTACATACTTATCTGAAGACATTTCACATATTTTCAACCATTTAATAAATCACTTTCTTTAAATTTGTTTCAATAGTTTAAAAAATAATAATAAAGATCACCCCTGCAACAAAGACATGAGATTTCATTATTCCATACACTGAGGTTTTCAGTATTACACAACTTATCTTCAGTCCAAACAACACAAATAGTACATATGTTTAACTATACATTAACTCAGCATACACTATAAGGCAGGAAATTTCTGTGGTACAGAAAAAAATATCTTTAGAATAAGCTATACTACATCAATCTAATTTCAGTGGAAAGAAAGCCAAAAATCAATGGATAAATACTCTTTACTTATGATGCATGATATATGGGGATTTTCTTTATTAATTTTTGAGGAAAAAATAACAGATCTTCCTTAATAGGAACATGTTTTCTTACATGAATGACAAACATGAAATGAATAGAAATAATTCCCTCACTTCCAAACATAAGAAATTGAAGGTTAAGTTGATCTTATTTGTTCTCATTTAATCAAACCTGTATTTTCATTTTCTTAACTCTTTTTTTAGGGATAGAAATTCTGTTGTAGGATGCTTTTCACAATTATTCCATTCTTAAATCTGAAAACTGTAAATCAAACTTGTACCATTCTCTGTACATTTAGCAACCCATGCCCTGAACCAGGGGTCAGGATTAGACAGTCTTAGCTTTCAAATAGTTAGACAAGAGTAAGATGATTGTCAAAGTCTATTTGATAGTTTACTTCTTCAAGAAAACAGGCTCTTCAAGTAATAACTCCAAAAAATATAACAAGCCTTCAAAAATTCCTTTGTTATCCATCAGGATAATCCCAGAACCATCATCAGAATTGTAAGGATTCACCTCTCAAATCTCTTGTTCTTTGTAATAGCAAAATGAAATACATTAAACTCTTAGGATGAGATGTTGACAAAAAACATAAACCACACATAAACTTCAAGTGTTGGGTAGAGAAACATGAATGTTAACTGTACTGAGCAAAATTACCTATTAGAATGAATGACTGGAGGAAGAATACTATCAGACTTGAGTGGACGAACAAACACTAGTATGTGATATTTAAAGATTCTTTTAATGCAAACTAGCAAGATGTAATATGAGAACAAAACTGAAAGATAACATAACCCCCACCCCGTACAACTGTAATAACTTGACCCTAACATCCTGGAAGTCACTGAGCAGACAGCAGTAAATACTGGATTTTGTGTGGGTTAACCCATCATTCAGAATTTATCTGCCTGGCCATCTTTAGCACATAGACTATAGATTAAAAATAAGTGATGCAATTCAAGAATTAGCAGGTGAGATGCTCTGACCTGCCTTAATACACAAGGTTAGGGGATCAAATCTGTCATGTCAGATCTGAAAATGTAAGAGAGCTACTTCAAATCTGTAATGCTCCTGACAGCGATTCATTAAATACTTGGGGGAACACTAAAGCAGAGGATTATACAAAATAATTCAATTCTGGTAGCATAACATAAATAAATAGTAGACAGGCCCATGTGATCCAATACATAACATGACTGGACAGATATGCCCACATCTGAGGAGGACCACAGGAAAGGAGATGGTACAAGTGTCATACTGAAGTAATTCGTTTGCCCCCAGTCCAAATCCCTGCCTTCAAAGAGAAACATGGGCTTTACTGCCTCTGGCTTGTATTTCCACCCACCTCTGCTTGTAGTCTACAGCCTTCAGTTTCCTAGCTCTTTCTCTGTGACAAACCACATGACAGTTCACTACAATACACTTGTTACGCTGTAAAGCAGCGAGACAGATGAGGATCTTGTTTCTAGGACATAAACAGGGCTGAAGAGCTGTAAAGCTCAGAGGCTTTTTAACCAGTCAGCTACTGATGGAGAAGTACAGTTTTCTGCAGGAGGACAGTTCTCCGATTGTCTGCACATGCAAATAGTAACTGTGACTTATCTGAACAGATTTTCCTGGGCATAACAAAAAATTTCTAACCATAAACCAACTTCTTTTCCAAATTTTAAGTGTATCCTCTCAATTTCCACATTTTGTCCTGTAAAAGGAGGAACAAAGAACTTTTTAGATAGCATTTTTAGCATATAAACCACTGAGAAGCAGTAAACAGTCATATGCATTACCCCCAACTAAAAATGCTTTTTTTTCTTCTATGAGGAACATACCCTGCCTCACCACAAGCAACAGTTATTTCTATGCCATGGTTTTAGAAGGATCCCACGCAACCCTCTGAATCAATTCTGTTTAGAAATAATGAGTCAGAAAGAATGCTCTTTTCCAGTTTTAGAGAACAAAGGAAGCTAATAAAACTCTAGAAAGTGAAATATTAGTATAATCTCAAACAATTTCAATTCTTTTTGTCTGTGGCCTCTGAATGATGGCAAACATGCACAGACAGTTTTTATTTCATCTTTCACTTTGAGTTAGCACCTAGCTCAAGTAAAAATGAGTAAGAATGTCTTACCTAGTAAAGTTGGCTTTTCCTGTGATGATTCAGGCTCTGCTGAACACCTGCAAGACCGAAGAACTATCACACCTCCGAGTACACCATCTTCATTGGCTAGAAAAGGTGAACCTGGGTAAAATCATTGGGGAGAATTATTTGCAATAGGAATAGTTTCTTGGGTATTTTTTTATTTGACTTTCCTGCCCTCCCTCTTTAATCTTGTCACTAAGGGTTGACAAGACTGTCAGGTCAACAGTGCTTTCACAAAAGCATCAATTTTATTTTTTCTAGTGTTTCTAATGAGTAACTTCCTAAATAGTAACCTAATCTACCAGTAATCAAAGAAGGAAAAAGAGCTACATGGGTAAAAAACATATTGGAAATTACATTTATGAGTGCAAAACCATTTGTTCGTGGATCAAGGAAGATATAATAATGAATAATGGAGTGTCAAGTTGAAAAAACCCCCGTGTCTCAATATTTAGTTCTTTCTGTGCTATAATTAATATAAAGATGGCCACATATGAAAAGAATCAAGCAAATCTGGGTCACTTTTACAGTTTATTCATTGTTCCCAATTTAAAGCACTTTGTACATAGACATCATCAAACTGATATAGATTGTCTTAGCAGAAAGGCCAAAACACATCCTAATTTTTACAGTGGCTTTTCTGTTGTTAATTTAAGACATATGATATAAAACATCTTCTATCAGAAGCTGGAAAAGTTTTAAAGCGAGCTGAATCAAGTTTAAGTATTCTTTTTCTGGTTTGTAATTTGAAATGAGTTTCCTACAGTTTTAAATGTGGAAACAATGGTATGATTTACATATGATTTTAAAATATCTTGAGCCACAAGATTAACCAAGTTCTTGCATTTAAGCCCAAAGAGACCCTAGTCACACATTTGCAATTCACTGTGATTTAAAGTTGAACATACAATTGCAACAAGCATTTCATATGTTTCTTTTCAATGATTTTCATTTAAATAAATTAGTATACTATGTCTAGTGTACAGACACTGTAGAAGGATTTGCTGGCCACAAGAACTTTAGAGCAGATCTACTCATCAGCCTCCTTCAACTTGCCCACAGCTATGTACGATTAAAATTACTCCTTTAATGCAAATAACAACATAAAACACCCCCAATGTGAACCAACTTCAAGCTTTACTATAAGGAAAACTAAAAGCTTTACCAGATTTTCTCTTGACTTAAAAGAAGCTGTGTTCAAAAGTGATACAAGGTGGTCATTACAACAGAAGCCCATATTACAAGAAAATAGTAAATTAATAAATACTAATATCTTATTTGATCTAATGTAGACAGATATTATCTTTAAAGCACCACTTGTTTTGTACAAGAACTATTAGTAGGTACCAATTACACCTACTGTATTACTCATTCATTGCAACCAAATCCCTGTGAACCAAGAATCCAGCCAATCATAACATAATACATAACAAAACAGGAAAATATGTTTGGTTAAAATAGAAATGTAAGGCTTGTGAAGAGTTTTACCACTCAAATCAAAATCTTTCTGTCTATGCTTTCCAAGATGCTAAGTATATCTCTTATACTTTCACTGCATTAACCAAGTGGTATGATATCTGCAAGCAAATGAATGAGGAAAAAAAAGTGGCTTTCTTCATAGAGGACATGCATCCTTTAATCTTTACTTCAGAAACTTGGGTACTTCAAAGACAACGTCTTAGCCTGAACTTGGTCCTGCAGACCTAATTTCATAAATTATTCAGGGTATAAGCCATGCTGTGGTGAAAATTCATGGCAAACAATCAGAAAAAGTTTCATTTTGTTTTTTAATAAGCAATGCTTCTCCTAATCTTTCAAGGTTCAAGTGAAAAATACTAATAATCCCTTTAATTAGAATGGTTAGAAATATTCTATTTCAGCAGCACATAGCCAGCAAACACTATTTAAAGCAGACAGCATGTTTGAGGCCATACTAAAACATTAAGGCTGTATGAATGTGCATAAAACCAGACAGCAACTACAGATTATAGATGCCAATAAAGTCTCCTTCTAGAAATGTTTACACTGGGTTATCACTTTTTTTTTTAGTGTTTTTCTTTCTCACACACTCAGAAAAGAACAGATGAAAGAAGAGTCTGTAAACTAACCAATCACATATTTCTTCATCTTTCCTAATAGTTTTGTCAACTATGTGCCATCATCACTACTCAAATTTTCAATAATCTGAATAACGTGCACATGCTAGACTCTCTCTTTTTAAACTTTTAAGAGAAGACTTGGCAGTGTATTTCTTTTCATGTAAAGAGTCTGCAGCAAAACATGTAACGCTACATTTTCATCAGAATTCTTTCATTTTTACAGGGATTACTTTGCAAGAATAAAATGTTAATTTTCTTCAGTGGAGTACAGGATGAGAAAAGTAATCACGCAAAGTGCATGTTTTGTGAGACTTTTTTTTAAAAAGGGGTTAAAAAATTTAAAACTTGAGCTTCAATCACATAAGACAAATCTTCATCTTACAGTTTCATCCAAAGACTTGCTCTACCTAGACACGCACAACTATGCTTATGAGAACCCCAGTTCTCTCAGCATAAATAGCATTTATTTATTGATTTCAAACACGCTGTCCATTGTATTGCCCTAAATATGTACACAATTGTTTTCTGAACCAAGTTACTTCCTTCAATGCTTATGCACCATGGAAGCTTTAATACCAGTCCACAAAATTCAGAGGCTTTGAAGTCCATGCTAAACACTCAAAAGCTGACTGTATTAATTCAGCCTTTGCTGAAGTACATTACCATTCTCTTGTTATTTCAACCAGAAAACTCAAGAGGAGGATTAATTTAATAGCCTTGTGCCTGAAAAAAGCATGATAAAAACATGATGAAATACAGTTTTAACTTCAGCACTCATAAAATACACCAGATGAGCAAGAAGCTGACTTCTTTAAGAATAACACAAGTTGGGCCCTTGGAGTAAGGACAAATGTTAGTTATGCCACATGAGACCAGGTCTTACTGCACTAACTTTGTAAGAACTGACCATAATGGTAGCACTGGGGTGATACAGAGATGAGTAAAATGGCTTAGAGTGACCTGTAGTGGGTAATTTGAATGGAATATTAAACCAGGAAATGTCTTAAAAGTTTGCATTATGCAAACAAAACAAAGAAGACAGGACACATTATCTATTACTTGCATTATTTGCCCAGTGGTGCACATCAAAACCCAGAACCTAGAGGCTACCCTCATTTGTAGCACCTTGACCAATATACTACAACGCAACGATGAAGATGACTGGACTGTGTTGGCTTTCTTGTTGCAGCCCGCATGGTTCTAGAACTGTAGTAATAAAGATTGAACCGAAGTCTATTATTGTCATCTGAGCTACTGAAGATTTTTTAAAAAACACAGAGCCAATTTTTAATCTCTCACTCAGCTGCAGAATGAATATTATTCTAGAAAAAGTCTTAAACAAGACCATATCCCTCCTTCTCACCTCCAAACACAAGCAGCAAACAAAGACACAAACATACAATCACTTGCAAAACGCCTGCAATGGTTCACAATCTTCTCACCCATACCACTTCCACAGGCCATTGCCCCACTTCTGCTGAAGGCTGCCATCCACAGAGTCATCGAAAGCAAATTGTGTGACTACACCCTCATCCCTTCCACTTGCTTTCACCAGCAATTTCAAGCTAAACCATGTCAGTGCAAAAATCAGTAACAATATAGCATGTGCCTCCAACTCACTGCACTGGCTAAGTTGTGAGGAATCAACCTCTAAAAAGTGGCAGTTAAAAACAGTTGCCTACAGTAATACGTTACAGTATTCTACATTACAGTAAATTCAGACAGACTGTTTCTCCTCTCTTAAAAATCAGACTCTAAGCCAAATTAAATACAAACAAAACAGCACATTCTTTAAAACAGAGAATGTATTTTATTTTCCAATTAAAGCAATTTTTTTTTAAAAAAAGTTAAAAGAGGGATTCAAATATTTTAGTATTTTTTTTAAACAAAGATATTTCTGGATATGCAGACTTATTACAGAGAAATACAATTAGGCTAAAGAGTGTATTTTAACATAGAGTGCAGATGAATAAATCTATGTTAAGCAAGATTCTAGACAGCTGAACACTATGCATCCATCAATAAATCTGTAAAAACAATGGTACAAAAGCAGTATTATACTTTACTTCTAAACAGGATCCATGTACTGTACACATGAATTAATTTGAGTCTTCTCAAAACACTGAATTCAAAGGTTGGAAACATATTTCATTAATTTAGTTCTTAAAAATTATTTTGTTACAGCTAAGCCACTGAGAAAAAGAAATAATAGTGCAAACTTCTGTAAAAAAGAATATAGGTAATGGTATTTTTTCATATACATTATATTTAATTAGTATTTAAACAGGAACAGAAAAGGTGCAACTGAAATACTGCCATATATTAAGGTCATAATGGTTTCTCATAAGAAGGAAAAAGTAATCTGGCTCCCACACTCCTAGACCATTTTTGCACCTCTGTACTCTTAAGAATGACAGATCTTGCTGTACAATTAAAAATGTAGGTAAAATAAATTAAAATATGCCTACTAGCCAAAAATATTTTTTTCTACTGCAGTAAAATCAAATTGTTAGACAAATCTTTGATCTAATAGCTTGCTAGTGATGAAACTACAAAAACCTGGGGCTTTTAATACCGTTTTAAGTCTCATGAAACTCATTGTTCCTTCCCAGTTATACTGGCATACCACTGAATAATTTGGCATGAAAAATCCAAAGCAAAACTTCAACTACAGCATTAACTAATAATGTTAGCACTGACTGGCCACACCAGAGAGAAGGGGTAGGAAAAAACAAACAAAAAACATCTTTCAATAGTTTTGGTTTAAATCCTCACCTCCCCCAGTCACAAAATTACATTTTACAAAACACATTTCCCTCCTCCTAAGCTCAGCGACTCTGTTGAGCTATCTGAGATTTAGAAAGCAGAGTCAAGTTTTTATTTATATGTTTTGTATGTTATTAATCTGCAGTAACGGTCTCTTAAAAATAAGCAAGCAAGTCTTCACTGCAACTCCACATTTGTTGATCCCATCAAGTTCAGCAAGAGTAACTATAACCGATCACCAAGACCCAGGTTCAGCCTCAGACCAGGGATAGAGCATAAAGATTTCACAAGCATTACAGCAAATAAAGGCCTTAACATTAAGCCTTGCTTCAGAAGAACTACAGCTACAAGTAAAGAATCTTTTTTCTTCTGTCAAATTAAACTGCTCCCATGATGAAGATTGCTTCCTCCAGAGCACGTGATTGACAGGAGATGTTCATTTCTCATCCCACGCTTTTTTCCCCCCATTTGTAGCTACTGGACAGATGCATTCTAGCATGGATTCAATACTAAACTTTAAAAGAAGTGTTTTATTTAACACTTACTCAGCTGAAGGACTAACCAGCTGTTCATCAGATGTTTTACATCCATACTCTTCCATAGTAGAGAAACCATTACCAGCTTCATTGCTTACATTAGCTTTCAAACTCTTCAGAACTTTGCTCTAAACACTGACTGTGGCGTGGTGTGACCAGTTAAGCATTTTAGCATCCCCCTGTTTTAAGCGAGTACAGCTAAACAATTCTAAATCTTCTTGTGCTGCAATGTGAGTGAAATTCCGACTTTTTCAGGTCAATAATCTATAGACTACTTGTGCCACTGGACTTTGTCAGCTTGTGTACAGAATGTGTTTAAAGTGAAGCTGTTTGCTACTCTGCTTCTGCTGTGTATCCCACTGAACTTCAAGCTAACAATTTAATAAACATTAGAGGAACATAAAAGCACTAAATCAAGCCTGCTTTTAATTTTATGCACCATTATTTGTTAAATGTTTAAGCGCAAGCTGTCTGAAATCAGAGATCTTATTTCACAATAAGTAAGTTAAAACATCTGTTTAGAATTTTTAAAGAAGCTGCAAAGAAAAGCACCTGTACTTTCAAACTTTACAGGTCAGATTTAACAAAACAAATGACTGAGGGTACCATGATCCAACAAAATACCAATGCCTTTGACAAGAAGAAGCACAGGCAGGACTTAGACAAATCTTCGTGTAACACCACCCCGTTGTGTTACTTTTTCAGCTGGTTTTATTGTATAGATAATGAAGAGGCCTATTCAGTTCAGCCTACCATCAAATACAAACTTGGGAAATCATAAACTTGCAGTGGATAAAATAGGTTATATGAAATTTGAGGATCATTCACTTCTCAAATCTTTTCCTCTGTGTCATAGAGAAGACATAATAATGCTTCCATAGCATTCTTCCTCCGTTACAAAATCACAAAGGATACTACAAAGCTTAGAATGATGCAGCACCAAAATATAAAGTAACAAGAACAATGTGCAATGACAGTCACTGGCAGTCCTGTAACTGCTTAAGTATGAAGCTTTTTCCCCTCCAAGAAGCATAACTCATAATCAGGAAATTCATATTCTATGATTCCTAACTGTCCAAACTCCTGCTCCCCAGAGAAGCACTTGACACAAAATTTCTACAGGAGAAAGCATCAGCATTATCCTTCTGCTATTACCTTTCTGCAGACATTGCTAATTTGTGAACTGAAGCACAGCTTAAAAATACAAGAAAAGACAAACAGATTTCCAGTAAGGGAAGAACAAATATCAGATTCTATGTCTTTCAGCTCATTATTTTCTAATACTTTATAAGAAGCTTTAAAGTACAATTCGTAATGCTGCCATTGTTAACAGCCCAGATTTCCCGCCAGTGAGATGACACAAACATTTACTCTAAGTCTACATTCCACAAACTTGGCCACATTTGAAAGGAATGATGAGTAACAAAATCCTCTGTTCTTCTGTTTGGAAGGTATTTGTGTTTACAGAACACCATTCTTCAACTGTGTACCAAGTCTTCGGTGCTCTTCAACTACAGATATCAAGCCCTTTGAGTTAGAAAAATCTAAATTTAATTTCTCTCGCCTCCAAATCAACCATCAATTGTGCGTTATCCATAGTAGGCTGGATCTGAGAAGGGATGAGAGAAGCACATCTGCCATTAGTTTGTTCATCACCTGCTGTTTAAACAGCACTCACTGTTTAAGCCAGGCTTTCCCTAGCTGGAAGGATTCCCAGGGCTCTGTGGAGACTCGGAGAGCTCTGTAAACAGGAAGCACCAATCTGATGGCAACTGCCAAAATCAGCTGTTCACCCCTCCAGTACAAGTAACGCACATTTTGACTTCTGACAAAACATTCTATCTCTGCTTTGTTAAAGCTCCTTTTTTTTTTTTTTTTTTTTTTTTTTTTTTTTTTTTTTCCCTTGGCCTTGGGCCACTGTAATTCTGGTGAAAGTTTGACAAGACCACAAAATAAGGCTTCAAGAAAGGCCAGTAAGGAAAGAATCCATGATATCAGCAAGTCAGCTATTAGCCCGTTTAATCCTATTGTTTCACAATGGTAAGAAATCTTGCATCATACCATATATCCTGAGATGTCAACTAGCACATCATCTATAAAAATTCACAGGAAAAAATCTATTTAGTACAAGCCTATTGTTTTAAGCATAACAATAAGTTTTCAACTGTTGCACTATATTAGCAAGACATAACTTTGCATTCAATTTTCAGAGTTGCCAATATTCCCCCAAAATTACACTACTGGCTACAGATTTAGTACTATGTCAAATGTAAAGAGCAAGATGTATCTGGATTTTGAGGTTTTCCTCAGCCAGTCTTCATTCATATGACAGCTGAGGGTAAACTAGATTTTATGCTTTCTAATCAAAACACAGAATCCAAGTACTTCAACTACAACAACAAAAAAAAGGTGGCTGTATCTTTTTCTTTTCCCCACATCAGAATTGCCCCAAAGTACAACTGAGAAGACAATACATATACCTGCTGCTGTCAGGCAACAAAAATTTGCAGTGATAAGTTTCTGAAAATACCAGACAGACCTATCCCTAAGTAAAAGTGAAACTTTAAAAAGGAAATCTAAATCACTATTTTTATCAAATCTTCCTATCATGAAAAGCATTAATTTGATACTGTCTCTCATAATTTTCACTTTCCCATGTTTTGCTGGTTTTAGTCTGTTTTCCCAAGGCAATATGACATCACACATTAGCCTGTATCTCTGTCTGTGCACCTCCTCTTTCTCTACAATGAATAGTTTCAGGTATAACAAAAACTTTAGCAATATTCAGTATGTTCTTATGTCCAGTACAAACATTTTCACATTTTCAAGAAAGAATACAGTGCATATATCACATACTAGCCAGTTAACATTTAAAATAAAAGCATCTGTTATGCAAACTGATGGCAAAATGCATTTGGACTAAAAAGCAAGAGAAGAATTGCATTTTGGCTAACAGTTACCCAAAAGAAACCCCAGAAAACTCAAAGCAACTTAAAGAAGGTACCTCAACTAAAAAGTTACTGAATTTTTGGTCCTTTATCTGACAGTTTCTAAGAATTACTTTGGCAGTAGCTTTCCATTTTGTGTGCATGCATGCACTAACATGAAACTGCATAACAATATGTACAATTTATGCTTGCTTTTAGTACTCCTACCACAAGCAGCACAATAAATTTTGAGAGTATGGACTGAAGATCTGACTTTCCTGAAGTTAGGCCACTTCGATACAACACCTTCAGAGCAGTGTTCCAAATCAGTGAAGTTATGACAAGCACCCTTCCTAAAGACTTCTCTTGGGTAAATAAATCCCCAGTGTTGTGCCACTGTGCACTGGAATAAGTGATTAAATATAAAAAGTTACATTCATGCTGCTTGGATTATAGTCTCTTTGGCGAACATACCAGGATTACTTTGTTCTGCATTCTTACAGCACTGAGAAATGACTGCAATACAGTAATAGATTGTCATATGAAGGTGGCTTCCCCTCAAACAGTCAAATGTAACGTTGTCAGAAGCAGAGTTTAATACGGAGTCAACATTATAAACGGAAATAAAGAAATTGGAACACATTGCTTGCCAAGACCAAGAGCAACGGTTCCTTCAGTTCTAATTAAAACACCATAAAAATGAACTTTGGCAACACAGTGTACAAGAAACGTTAATGCTGTCCACAAGAAATTCCAAAGGTCAAAATTGTCTGTGGATTCTAATGCTTCAAAAATTTTAAGGGGTCTAAAGACAGTGCAAGTAAACATAGATGCAAGAACCTCACTGGAAAATATTCTATCTTCAAAAATTCAAGCTAATATAGATATTCTAAAATTCTACATCCATATTTTTGGTTATGCCTCGAAGAAAGAAAACAAGATCTATATTCAGGAGAAATTAAACATGTATAAGTATTCATGTAGTCATATCAATTAAAAAATTGATTTTAATTTACAATAGCCTTGAATGAAGTCTACTTCACTTTTTCAAGAAATTAATTTCACCATGTAAATAGCAAACCAGAATCTGTCTGTTCAAAACATGTAATGAGAACATGCAGTGGTATTGAGGTCTATTATATTTAAAAGGGTTAACATTATGAATAATTTTTATGAACGCTCCTAAACCACCAATTCTAAAACATGCAATTGTACACCACAGCCAGTGATTCAGGCAGGAAATTCTTCAAACCTCTTCAGGTATTCTATGACTCACATAACAATTGAGATATTTCCAAGGGTTTTCCTTTATATTTCCTAAAATAATATTCTATGGTTTGATTTAACATTTTTTTAGATCTAACACACACTAAATTTGAAGCCAACTGCAACATAATGTTTCAACAGAAATCACAAAAATAAGTATCTTAATTTTGTTTAATAGGGTTAATTGCATTTTAAACAATGTTAAGCAATGTTTAAGCAATTAGCACCATATACTTACCAATAAACTTGTTTTGCATAGTCTCTAGGAGAGCTTGATGGGCATCTTCCGTTTGCAAAGCACATGAACATTCTCTGGCCAGTATGGTTCGGACAAGGTGCTCTCCACAACCTAAAGAAACATTGAGAATAGTCAGAATATAGAGACCACTATGAAAAAACTGTCATTATTTTACATCATCACAGACACAGTAAAAAAAAAAAAAAAGCATATGGCAGGTTTCTGCCATATTTTTTTTATTTTTAAAGTGAGTGTTATTGAGTCACACAAAAATTCAATAATGTCAGCAGTTTTTCTCACAACTTTCCTGAAATTTCTACTGTATGAAGTCATAAACCAAAAAAAGGTTAAACACAGAAAGAAGAAACAGAAATAGTGAGAAGAAACAGCAAGACTGTCTCTGACTTGTCATCTTTATCTAGATCCTGCAATTTTCTCTTAAAGAATCCTCTTACAAATAATTCTCACAGGAACGATCCTTGGATGCAACTCTCTTCAAACCAAGAAGATCTTGTTGAATGCCACCATAACTCCTTTGCATGATTTAATCTTCTATTTAGTCCATCTGGTTTGGCCTTTTGTCAACAGAAGAAATTGTGAATTTACCTGTGCTTTTTTGACAGGGTGGCTGGCTCATTGCACTCCTAATAAAAATTCCTGTAATTTTTAAAGGTCTGACTTTAAAAAACTAAAAAAAATCCAGCAAACAATCACTTATTGCCTCAGTGCTTTCTGTAACTGTCCCCTGAAACCTGTTGATGATGAAGACAAACAGGTCATTAGTGCTACTCTTACTCTGTAGGAACACTTTCACACCTGCTGTTTTTCTCCCACGCCCTTTTCGATTCCTATACTGTGCTTTGGGACATACAGCTCCGACCAAATGGTACAGTGCATGTTTATTGGATCATTATTTTCTTGGATAGGGAAACATACTGATGATATTCTCTGCATCTACACAAAAGTCATTATACTACTATGGCTCCCATTTGTTGATATTTCTCCTCAATGGCAGGGAAGCAGATGAAGCAGCTGGAAGAGGTCTAACCAAGCTGAAATGGAAAATAAAAGGAAAAAGGGAAAACACAACTAATTTACAGCTGCAATATGACAATGATTTTAAATTATCTAAATTTAGGTGATTACAGTTTGATCAGACTTGTAATTTCAGAGCATATCAGGGACAAAACCTGCATTAGACACCAGAATATATAGAGAGAAGTCAAATATAGTCAATTCCCAATTATCTCTATATATTTCTAGCAAGTTTCTCATTAACCATGACAAGATGTAAGCACCATGCTGGCTCCATTAAAAAGTCTGCTATAATCCAGTTGGATTTATTAGCTCAGGTGAAGAACTACATCCATACACTTACGCAGCTTCCAGAGACAATTCATGGCTGGAAACAATCTCAGTACTTTCACATGGCAAAGCCAAGAGCTGGTAAAACATCAGATCTAAGCTGGCTTCGGACTCATGTTACTGGAAGGACTAACAAGGCCAGAACAGAGAAAACTGAGCAATGCTGGCTGAAGCCAACCTAGATCTGGCACAGACAAAGAACTAATAAATAAACTCAACCCAAACTGGCTCCAGTGCAGCCTGCTGAGCATCTTGTCACTGTGCTTCCCAATACACTGAGTCTGGAGCACTGGCGGGTTTGGGCACCACATCTCACGAACACGCATGGGCAGGTCTAGCGCTGTGTCTTGGAGCTACTCACTGACTGGCTTCTTGCTCTTCCCACCACTTTTAAGCCCTAATTAACATGGCAACCTACTCTAAGAATCTCTTTCTGCCTACTTGTCTGCTTACTTACCCTTCCCCTTAAAGATAAAATTGAGTTTAAAAAAAACTGTTCTTCAAAAACTGCTAACAGAACAGGAAAAAAAGAAGAGCCCTCACCCCTCATTTCCAAAGTTAAAAAAAAAACAACAACACACCCCCCCTATGGAGCACTATATATGCATTAGATGTTGGAGAATAAGCCCAGGGACCAAATTGCAGAAAAACTGTGTACACATGTCCTAAAACCTTGGTATCTTCAATCATCAAAATCACACAGTCTTCAGTTATGTACTCATTCTAATGGGCAGTGTCTCCCAATTAAAACAGTTTGGTTAAACTGAATTGTTTGAAGTGGGGTGCTTTGGCATTGAATCTAAATATAATTGGCACAACAGAAGGACAAGAAATTCTCTGCATAGCAAACAGATTGGGTAAAAAACAGTTATAAATTTAGAGAAAAATGAAAGAGCTGAAAGACTACAACAATTACACAGCAAAGTGAGACAGGTCTTGAGAAGCACAAGGAAAAAAGTGTTTTCACTGAGACTGTCAAGCTTTTGAGTTATTGAGTTATTGAGAAAAGTCCTGGTTGGGACATTATCTTCAAGAGGCTCACACAGTACATCTGCTTACAGGAGGAACTGTCCATTCATTGCCTCATTACTTCCATGCTCAAAAGCTTTTGGCCACAATAAAATTAAGAGTTAACTAATATTTATTCAAGACAATGTATAAAGAATATGCAAATACTGCAAGATGTATTTTACCCATAGATCACAACATGGCTATCACTTTTTTCTTATAAAGTAAGAAAATTTAATCATGAAGCTTTGCTGCAAAGAATAAAACTAAATAAGTGTATGCTCCAACAAAAACTTAGCAAGTTGACTTTTTTATTGAAAAGAACCTGTTAACACCTTGAAATATAACATTTATACCCTATGTGAGGTAAGAAGGATAGGACTTAGCATGTGAATCAAGCAAATGAGACACAAAAAATCAGTGAGCTTATGCATCTCCTATGCATCTAGTAACAAAATCAGATGTTACTACTTTAACATTTTTAATTCCTAAATTGGCATCAGAAAGACAATAGCCATTTTTTAGCATGATGTATAATGTTATTTTCCCTTAAGATAATGATTTTATTGAAGAGTTCCCAAAACATCAAGTCTGCTAAAAAAAAAAAAAAAAAAAAGATAGAGACAGAAAACTTAATATGGGTTAAGAACAGCTGCAGCCCACTGATGTGATCCAGGATCAACCACAAGGAAAGCAGCCTTGCAATTCTACTAACACATCACACATCTCTACATCCCCACAGACAAAGTCATTTCTTTTTGTCATATTTATGTCAACCTGTAAGGCAGCAAACTTACAGACTGCTGCTGGCAGCGTACGTAAAAATCTTTCAACACATCACATGCCAGCAATCTGCAGGGACAGATAAGTAAGAAAAATAATCCCCCCATTTTGAAAAGAAAAATTTGTTACTGCAGTTTTTGATGTAGGAACATCTGTTCTGAACAAGAAAAATAACAAAGCAGTGTTTCACATACTTTGACCAGATAAGGGCTGAGAAAAAGAATTACACTAATTATTCCAATAGAATTGCCCTTCCTATTACCTCAAGTTAGAATCAAATACTAGAGTGTGAACTGTCTTACAGGTTTAGAAGATCTATATATGTCTACAGCCTCAAACTGGGAAAACACCGAAGATAGACACAAAATAAATGAATACAGAATTACAGTAACTGAAAACTAATTTATAACTTACAATATAAAGTTGTGGGTTCAAATTTATCATTCCATTTACTTGTAATCTAACCACCAGTATTAGCCAACTTCCAAAAGAGTTTTATTAACATGACTTAAGACAGCAACTACAGTCAACAATACTTTAACGTTTTTCCAAATCATGCACATAAGCTGATGAGAATGTTAATCTGGATCATTTGCTTAACTATCTCACATTTTACTACATTTAACCCAATGTGTTATTATACTTTGCAGTTTGTCACTGAATAATACTGAAACAAAATCAACAGGGACTCCTAGTAAGAATTTTGCAATTCTACATTAAAGTCTGAAACGCACTTCTTTTATTAACTTTCCCGTAAACAGAGTTTAAATAATTTTATTATCCTTTCCCAGTTAAGATGATGACTTCTTTGGTAACCTGAAGCTCATTATATCTCAGACAGAAACACTTTGAAGTGACAGACCAAAGCTTCCATAAGCCTTCACACAAGAGTGACTCAAATAGAGATGACTATCTGGAAAAATTTACTGGGTTAAATTAGTACTTCTCACTGAAATAACTGTTTCATACAGCAAACAAATTATTTTCTTAACACCATGATGTTGTGCAAACACCATGTTGCCTACTCATAACCCCTCCGCTGACAAAAATACTCCTGTTGGAACACACTGCTGTTCATGTTTGCAGAGTTATGTACAGTTTGTTGCCTATACAGGAAACGTATAGTCTATTTTGATACATACATACATGCAAAGAAAAATATTTTGATGCCTCCTAGGTTAAGGAAAAAATAGTTAAAATAAGAAACCAGGTTCCTAAAGGCTCTCCCAAGGTATATGCCAGTAACAGGCTTCTATGACAAGGGAAGCAAAGAAGGATAAGGCTTGACAGACATAACACATTTATTTTGCACTTGAACCAGAAGACTTGTGAGAACCAGAATCTAAACAAAAAGAAAACAAAACCAAACAAAAAAACGCCAACCCCCCAAACAACCAAATTCACCAAAAAAAAACCCGCAGAAAACCTGTCTTCAACCAGAAGCTTCTAACCTTGCCTGAAAACCACTTGGAGAACATAGAGAAAACTCCTAATAATCACACAGAAAGCTTCAGAACTGATTTTTCAGAGACACATCTTCTTGGAGCGTGCCACAGTACAGCTTCTAATGCAGTGTTTCTTTTAAAGTGCAAAGCTGATAAACAGTTAAATATGATTTTGCTCTTCTGTGGATATTTAAACATGCAATTTCTGAGAATAATACCACTTTTCCTATTCAGACACTCTTTACAGATTCCCTCAAGATCCCCATAAGAACAATCTGGCAATCTACAATCTCTTTTTTTTTTTCCACAGTCTTTTTTTCCTTCTGCTATTCTATTATAACTTAACAGTTATATATGTATCAGTAGTCCTCCCAAGTTACTATTTCAGCCAAAAATAGCACCAAGCCCCCAAAAGGCATTTTTTTGAGCTTCGAGCACAGCAAGATGGTCATTCCTGCACTCCATACACCAGATATTGCTGATTAATGAGTCGAGTCAGGCAAACCATCA